TGTGATTTGTTCAAATTTCTTATCTGCAATGCTGGTTCGACAGTGGTTGGCATATAAATGTCAAGTGTCCATAAGTAGGTTTTGACTGACTAAAGTGCCCACTATATGTATTTGGTGCTTTGAATTCATTTTTAAGTTCTTTGATATCATTATTTATTCTTCTTACTTCCTTTTTCAGCTCTGACGGTTTCTTTCTACCTTAGTTTATTTTTTAAATATCCTATTTCAAACAGTCCACATTTCCTTAAATTTTCTTGATAGTACAAAACAGTTATACTCTATTTTTTCCTTCTGTTTCCTGGAGTAAATCTTCCAAAGTGTTCTCTTCATTTTCCTTCTGCATGTTCTGTGCCTCATCTTCCTTTTTTTCTTAGGAATGCTCCAAATTTTGTCTGGCCCCTCTGTTTGTCCAAAAATAGTGTGGGTGGAATCTCATTGACTTCCTTCCCTATTTGTCTTGGGTCTGTGTGTCTTTCTCTTAGCACTTGAGCTGGAGGACTGGAAGATGATAGTATATATTCTATTTTTAGCCATTCAGTTGTTAGAGTAGGGTGGTGGTGGTTGGGCTCTGTGACAGTGGGTAGCTTTACTCTGTGAGCTTCGCTTCTTAATTTTGTTGTATTTTATAACCAGTTCCATTTTTCTTTTTCTTTTGGATGAGCCACTTTGATGAGAAATCATTCTCATTTGATGAGAAATGATGCCTCGCTGTTTATGGGATTTTTGTTCTGTGCATCTGTTGGGTGTATTTCTCTGTATTGGGTGTATTTCTTAGGCCACTTTGTGCAGCAGTCCTGCTTTCAGCCCTGAGCACTGCTGAGTGGGTGAGGGGACTGGGATCACTTGGCTGTGTAGTGTCTCTTTAGTCCCTCCACTGCTAGTAGATGTGAGTTCCAGTAAGATGTTACTCACTCCTCCAAGCTGGGGATATCAGAAGTCTTTGAGAACCTTTGCCACTTGCTTCCCTCGACACTGCACTATTTTACCAGCAGAAGAGCTGTGCATAGACCCCGGCAGGTCCTCCCTCTTTGATCTAATTTGTATTGTTTCTGGTTGATAAGTCCTTTGCTATTATTAGTGAAGATGAGGTTTCCTCTCTACTTTTTTCTTTTTGTACATTTTGAGGGGTAGAAAGGAAGTTGTTTTTTAGAGCACTTTGCCTTCTTTCCAGGAAGTTTGCTTTATGAGTCTTGATGACTATAATTAAGACATGTGAAGTCCTTCATAGAGAGTTATAATTATAGCATCTCTTAAATGCCTTAAAGTCCAAGCTTGCACCCTCTATAACATCCCCCGATTTATTATTATTTTGTTCCCCTCTACACTCAGTGGTGGGAACATCATCACCCCCAAGAGGAATTAATTTTTTTTGGTCATCTATGTTGTTTAGAAAATGTTCATACACTGAGCTGAAACCTGTCCTGAAACTACTTTCAGGTTCCATCCTTTGGAGACGCTGGGACTGTGGTACCCACTGGAACGTATCTGCTCTTCCAAATAATTGAAGCTGTCCTCATGACATTCCTGGGGTTTGCTTTCTTCTTTATGCTTAACATTATGAGTTCTTTCTATCATTTCTCATAAGGCAGGAATAATATCTTGTCCTTTAACATCCTAGTTGTTTTCTTCTTTGAAAGGAGAAAACAGAACACTTGAGGTATGTTTTTATGAAGTCAAAGTAGGTGATATTTCTGCATCTTTGCCCAAACTGAGATGTATGTGACTTTAGAAATGTTTATCTTTTGTCTAAAGAAATCATCGCAAGAAATACAGCAATTTTGAGTGCAGAAGGCTTCTGTAACTTTCCTCTACCAGTACCCTATCAGCTCTTACTTGTTTATTTTTCAGTAAAGTACTACATTGCTGGCCTTGTTTATGACCTATGGTCATCTGTGATCTGCAAACAGTCTTCTGCCTTTTTGCAATTATTATATATTTACACAGGTTTTTCTTTTCTTTTCTTTTTTCCCTAATTGCTGAGACTACTTACTCCTGTTGAATGTTATCCTTATTCTGGTGGGAACACCTTTCCAAGGTCAAGATCATTTCAGCTTTTTTTCTAATCCTTCCCAGTTCACTCTCAGAGGGAAGTAGATGAACCTATCACAATGAGCTTCATAAAGAATGACATTAGGACAAAGAAATGTTTTTGTCCACATTGTCAGTACAGGCATGGAAGGTATTAGATTTCAGAACAGATCCCCATGGTCCATCGTTTAGTATGAATCTCTAGTTGATTCCAAGTCTTTGGTTATTACTTTGTTGTTTACTTGCATAAAGTAAGTAAAACCCAAAGTATACTACCTGCATTTGACCTCAGTATTTAATTTGTATTGGTATAAAAGGGAATAGAGAAATCAAGAAAGGTACATCTGCCCTTCCTTCTTTGGCTGTGGCCTGGTCTCCCGTCATAGGAGATTTGATTGCCTTGCTTCAGTGGAACTCTCAGATGTCCCGGCCTTTGGGTGGAGCAGTGTGTGTATAAGATGGTAGCATCCCTCACGTTGTACATTTTGGCTGGTCGGGGTTTGTTTTGTTTTATTTTGATTGAAGTACAGTCAGTTACGGTGTACAGCACAGTGTCCCAGTCATACACACACACACATATATTCGTTTTCATATTCTTTTACATTGAAGGTTATTACAAGATACAGAATATAGTTCCCTGACTTCTTGTCTCTTAATTGAGTCTGGCCTATGCCTCTGTGGCTGTCGACCACAAGCAGAAAGCCCTTCTTCACAGGGGGGTGGGTCTTGATTTCTGGGCAGTGGGCAGCTCAGGATATTGCCTTTTTCTAGGACTTTTTGCTGAAAAGATGACTAAAGAGTTGAGCATGTCACTTTTAGAGGGGCACTCTTTCTCCAGGCCTGTATGTGTGTACACTGCTCAGACACACCTTAGTGTCGTTGCTCTGAGTCTCACCTTGGAGAAATGAGCTTATTACTTGTCAGCAGTGCTGTTAGGAGTAAGTTTATTTCTTCATTAATTTGGTCATTTACCAGAGGGCGTTCTAGTCTAGCCCCGATTATTACAGCTTGTTGAAATGCCTGATGTCATTTTTGTTTCCCTGTCTCTTACCCTTGAGAATTATTATAAAAAAAAAAATTGGCCTTTATACCAATGTTTTAAAATTGTTCTATACCTGGATTTACAACAGGGCACACTGCCCTAAATCCAGTTATAGTTAACAAGATATTATATATTTTTCTGGAGATTTTTATCCTTGGAAGCCAAAGCTGAGTTTTTAAAAATGTGCTGACTGTGTGTGGATAAATTATGGCTGGAGTCCAAGATGTGTGGAATCTCACAAGGTAAGGATTGCGTGTGGAAATCCCTGACTTACCAAAGTAGTTTTAGGAACTGTCCTTCTTGTAAGCGTACTTCTTGTGTAATTTCAATGATCAAGATGCCTTTTAAGAAAAAAATGTCGTTGTGCTGACATTTACTTTAAGTAAATGAAGCATAGTTCCATATCTATTGAAATTGAAATTAATAATGCATGGCTACATGAGTGCTTTTTCCAGCCCTTTTTGTATGTTCTTGCATATAAATTTTTAGAACTCACGGTAAATCAGATGGTGCAGAGGCTGTTTGATTTTTTTTCCCCCTATTTTTCCAGTGGGTGGCTTGCCTTGAGCAAGGGGATGCAGTGAATAAATTTATCAGCATCAGAATGTGTATTTATACAGTTATTTTCTTTCTTTTATTAAAAATTAAAATATTTTGGTCTAAAGGTTTTCATTTTCACAAGTGTCCTTTGTGGAAAAAAATAATCTTTAAGGTTACTCTTTATTGTGTTTTCAAGTGTTCTTTTCCAGCTGAAAAGGAAAGATAAGGGACAAATAATAGCACTGATTCTTCTCTTGCTTTGTTTTTTTTTTTTTTGGTTTGTGAATGTTTCTTTCCTCCTAGTCCCTGGGTGATGAATAGGTTACTCTGAGACCATAAAGACTTTCTCTGTCAGTCCTTTTTTAGTACAAATGGCCTCTGAGTGTGAAATCAGTGACTATGAAGGACAGGGGGAATCTGTGTTGGTGAAAAACTCTGGCAGAGCCAGACAGTCTGGATTGCAAAGAATGCTTGGCTCCTCTTGTCATTTTCACGAGGAGTAACATCATACACAGCACTCAACCGCACTAGCAAAAAACTGAAATTTACTCCTGGCAGGCCACGAAACGCATCCAGTCACCTCGTGTGATCTCTTACCCCATCCGGCCAAGGCCACATCTCTGAGGTTAAGGAAATTGTGTGTTACATTGCAAAATCTTCTCCTTGTGAGTTAGAAGGGAAATCTCAAACTTGAATTTATTTGTAACTTTAGAGAGTTTTGAGTTAGCACACACATGTAAACATCTCAACTTGCACCGTCACTTTGCAGTGAATTTACAAAAAGCGAGTTTCAGGAGACCTTCAGATAAGCACTGTTTCTGAAAGCATGACAGAACCAAGGGGAAAAGCGCTCTCCCAGTTCAAATGATGCTTAAGCACGTTTTAGTCCTAGAATTTCAGATTTTTTTTTTTGGCAGTACTAATGAGACACACACTGAGAATAGGGGCAAAAAGCAACAGTAATTTTACTCCTTAGTGTCTGGTAGAGTTTGTCCTCTAAGCTTTTTCCTGTGTTTAAAAGGCAACACTTTTTTAGGGGGGTTCCATATTTCAGTAGAAGAAGACAATCCCAATGAATTGGAACCTTGTGGGACAGGGGCTGTATATTTCCTTTTTACTGACATAATAGCAGCCAGTTGGAGTTGGAAAAGTGTAATTACATTTCTTATTATACACACTTAATGAACTTGCTTTATATCCTACTGCTTCCTTGAAATTTGCCAACAGGTTAGAACAAATGTCCCCAAGTAGAACTGGCATATCTACCTATGTCCTTGTGTTTGAGATACCCAGCCTCCCCAGACTCCCCAGAACACCTGTGTATGACAGTTTGCCTCTGGTAAGTAGCCAGAGCTTTGAATCAATAGCATGATTAGAACTCAAGCCCTGAGAATGTGTTATGACCCTGTGCAGGGAAGAGTTAACATAGCCGGTCTGGCTGCTGTCCTTTCAGAGGACAGGACTGGCCCTTGGCTGGCGTCTGGGAACTGGATTTCCAGAGGGCTCCCCCCACTCTCAGAACTGATTCCAGCAGCTCATGCTGCCTGAACTGTTTGTACGAACAATGTGGTTTATGTTGAACACCTGACTTCCTTTTGCAAGTCTGGAATTTTGGCAGGTGCTAGGCAGACAGTGCCTATGTGACTGACCCTCAGATCAAAACCCTGGACTCCTAGGCCCAGGAGAGCTCCCCTGGTGGACGGCATTTCACATGCATTATCACAGCCCCACGCTGGGGGATTCAGTGCATCCTACGTGGCTCCAGTGGGAGGGGAACCTCCGAAGCCTGTGCCTGGCTTCTTTCAGGCTTCGCTCTGTGAGCCCTTTCCCCTTTGCCAATCTTGCCTTGTTGGAATAAATTATAGCCACAAGTATGACTTATGTTGAGTCCTGTGAGGGCACTGAGTGAGCCGAGCCATCCAACCTGGGGGTGGTCTTGGGGACCCCAACACAGACCCTGTCATCAACTCCTGGGTCCCCGCTTGGTTAACACGGGTGCCCTGGGGCAGGGTGTCTGCATCGCAGCCTGGCCTGTGGACCAGGGGCTGCCCGCATGGGATGATGCTTATGTAAGCTCCCTGAATGCACTGAATCACTCTCCAAATATCTGCACAACGATAGTAGTAGTGTCTTCCTTCTTCTGTAATACATTTTGGTCACTGTAGTCAACATTATTATGTACACATAGAACACTGACTTACCTACCCTTCAGATGGTATTAGCCCTCTTTGTCCAATCTGGACCAGGCAAACCCCTACTTTCCCAGAGAGCTGAACCTACAAGAGTGACAGACGATGGGGGATAATGTAGACACAGGCTGCCCACGCTCCCTACATTTTTCGTATTGCTCTCAGGTGACTTTTAAACTATACGGATTATGGTTCTGTTCAAACCATTAATTACTTCCCATTAATTGCAAAATGAAGGCCAGATCTTTATTCGCCAGTCTTATTCTTCTGAGCCCACTTTCCTTTCTCACCTTGTATTTTCCTGCTTGCCTTCATGCACCTGACACTGGCTAAATTCTTGGACATTAATGCTTTTCTTTCCCTTCTCCATCTTCACATCTTTGTCATTATCCTTTGCCCCCCTCCACACCCCCGTGACTGCCCTCACCCCATCTCGGCCAGTGCAGAGCCCATCTCAACTGCAACCTCTTCCTTGATAGCTTGGATCTCTGTACTAGTCGGAGTCTCTTTTGAACTCTCATGCCATTTAAGCTTTGCTGTAGGCCTGTGTTTATTAGGTACGTACAGGAAGCATTCTTTTGAATATTTTTTCCCAAATTTCATTTTTCCATTGAAATTCACATGAAACCCGACATTTTAAGATTTTATTTTATTTTTTTATTTTATTTTTTAACATTTTTTATTGATTTATAATCATTTTACAATGCTGTGTCGAATTCCAGTGTTCAGCACAATCCTTCAGTCATTCATGGACATATACACACTCATTGTCACATTTTTTTCTCTGTGATTCCGACATTTTAAAAACTTTCGATAATATGGAATTTTTCAGATGTTTGGTATGAAATAACCACTAAGTATTTATTTAAGACTTCCTGTGTATCTGGTTCTATCCTTTCTTCTCTTGGCCCTCAGTAATCATTTAGGTGGGGATAAAAGATAGTTAATATGAAAGTGATAGAAAACCAATTGTAAGTGTTCAGGGCTGTCCAGTGACATGGACATCTGTGATTTTTTTTTTCCTATTCAGTCCTAATTCCACATATTTCTTTTTATTGTCAGATCATATAAGTTGTGGGTTCCAATTTATAGTTGAAAAGTTATAACCCTGTGGATATCGGAATTCATCTACAGGCAGGATTGTGGACTGGTGTGATTAGGGAACAAGACAAAGAATGTACAGTATTCCAGCTCATCCTTGGAAAGTAGGCCAGTGTGGAAGAGACTGCAAGGAGATCAAGGACATTGCAGCTCAGGGCTGCCTCAATACCCAAGGTCTGGCGTGCTGTCCAGATGGGGCCATAAAGTTACGGAAGTTGCCTCTGTCTTCCAGTAAAACCAACAAGCAAATCAGGATTCTTGATTGTTTGTTGGCATGTCTTTCTTGTATTCTTCTTTTGGGTTCTTCCCTTGGCGTCCAGTATTTTAAATATTCATTTCATAATCCTGTTCACTTTGGTTCTTTTTGGCCTTTGACAACTGGTATAATCTCTTTTTATAGATCCTTTCTGTGAGGTGGCTCAGAGGCAGGAGTAAGTGATAAAGAAAGTTGTTTCTCAATTAGTACGTTTGGGGAGAAAACATGCCTTCCTCTAATTTAATCTCATTGCTTAGTGAATAATACTGTATGGTATGGTTAATGGCTAAAAAATGCAAAGAGAAAAGTACAGATCACTAAAAAATGATACCAAGTTTTTCCATATTGACAAATCCTATCTTCTGGATAAATAAACAACCATTATACTTTATGATGCCCTTCCTTATGTGTGATTTCATTTGAAACACAGACAGTTTTGATGCAATGGACACATAGTTCCCATCATGAGCGGCCTGGAAAGGTTATGTGACCTTGTGGAGTAGACTTCTCCAAATTTGACTCTTGGTCCTAGTCTTGTAACACTTGTTAAGTTCTTAAGGCCTTGGGGTCACAGCTCTTTTATTTGTAAACTAGGAATAATAGTATTTTCTTCTATGTGTTTTGTGAAGAGTAGATAAGCTGATAAGGACGAACACATGAGAGAATCTCAGTGAATGTTTCTTTTCTTCTCCTCTCGTCTAAGCTTCCAGCGAACAGAAGCTGGGGCCCGAGGAAAACTTAGGTCTTCAAACTCAATCTTTGGCTTCTTGGGGGAAAAAAAGTACTAAGAGTTATGAAAATTCAAAATAAATAAATTTGTTTTTGTAATTCAACTGAGAGTAGCTCATAATCATTGGTAGCAGCTCTACTTACTTAAGTGTATTCTAATAATCTGCTGATTTGGGATATTTCTGCTTCTCAGAAAACCCAAGACCTTTGTATCCTTGTTTTATACAAATAGTTATCAAGACATAAATGCCTTTATTTAATTTCTTTACTGTATTCTGACAAAGTGATATGCTTGTCTGATACTCTAGTCAGAGGTTACTGCAGCATGATTTTGTTGTTTTTTTTGTTTTTTAACCTGCATTTGTTCTGATTGGTTGGTGTGTCTGGTCTGATTAGTTAGGTGGTTGGGTTATTAAACATTTTGAATTTTACTGGGGGTTTCATGCTCTTAAATTTTTTTGTGTGGGGTTTTAGGATGTGTCTTTTAAGAGGAAAGGTTATTTTAGTAAATTCTGCCAAATTAAAAGATGAATAGTAAGAATTTGCTAGTTTCCTGTTTATGGCTCTATCTGAGCAAGCATTTGTGGTTATTTTCCAAAATAATCTTAAGTTAATGCTAATGGAACTATGTATTATCAGTCCCACACGGGAAGGCTAATTATCAGTGTATAATCTTGGCAAATTATTATGCTTGTTGGTGTAATCCATGTCAGCGAGGTGACACATTGTAATTATGTATTCATTTTCGCTTACTCTTCGTCTTCTGCATATATCATCAAACAAGCTTTCTTTATTACAGTTGTGGTTATTTTAGTGGCAACCGCTTTTACGTGAATCAACATAAAAACTCTTATCTTTGAGCCACGTGGTCTTTCCTGAGACATAAATGTGATAACAGCATCTTCTACATAATCTTTTCTAGTGGTATGTGTGTAGACGTCTTAAAGCTGCTTTTGTTTCTGTGCCTCAGCTGCTGGATCATTAGCAGATTTACCAGTGGACTAACATTTCTCTGAATCTCCTGGTGTAAAACTGTGAGCCTGGTTTTCATTGGTCTACATTAGCTTTCCCTATAGATCGTTTCGTAGTTTTCAATTCAGGCAAAAAAAAATGAATTGTTGATGTTAATTACCCTAGCTTTACTTCTTTCAATTGTAATTTAAGGTGATATATTAGATTTTGACGACTAATAGTTTATTTCTCTAATATCTGAGCCTCAGGTGGTTTTCTAAAACAGAAGTGTCTTGCTCTACGTGTTCTACAAGCAAATATCCCCATTAACGTGTGCTTTTCCTACTTTCTAAGCATACTAACTTTTGTTTTACATTATGATCTAAAACTGATGAGGGAGTAATCTGTTCTGGCTCAGGGAATCCTAGATACTCGTTTACTAAGTGTTACCTTGTGTTAAGAGCTTTTATAACATTATTTTGTTTTCCAGCTAGGGAACTAACCCAGTTATGGGAAGTTGTTCTTTCTTTATTTGTATTGACTTCACATTTTCCTTATTTGGTGATTTTTTGGTAGGGTAGTGTATGAAATTTGATTTAAGAGTTGGCTTTGAGCTTCAGTAAGAACAAATCATTTCTTTGTTACTCCTTTCTGTGTGTGTATCCTCAGCTCTTGACACAGTGCTAGGCCCAGAATAGACAATCAGTAAGTATTTGTTGAAATAAGTAGTTCCCCAAAGGCTTGTTTAAGTTTTCCTTTTGTTCAGTCACCTGGCAAGAAAATGAGGTCTTTATTACTGATTTTGTCTTTGGAGGCCTAATTCCTCAGTTCTTCTGCAGATTGGCATTATGTAATCTTTCCACGATGGGAGAACATTTTCTGTGACAGCAGACTTTTCTGGGTGAATGAATTTCCCTATCAGCTGTTGAAATACTGAGTTTGAGTTTAGAAAAATGCAGAAACATTTGTCTGTTGAGCTTAAGGGATTGTTTAGCAGAAGAGAGGGGAAGTATTTAAATCAGAAAAACTTGCTTTCTATTTCAAATCCTTCCTAGCCACCCAGGCTGGTCATGACTTCCTGGATGGAGTAAATTCTTTTGTTAGATGCTTGGAATTGAATATTGTAAGCTGAAATTATCTGCTTGCTGATTCGGTTTGCACTTTGGGAGAGGGATAATTCTGAGCATCCACAGGTAGTCTGCAGACGTGCCAGACTGATGGCCGTCTACTACAAATTCGTCTTTTTCTTCAAGTCTTACTGCAGTGGTAAATACAGTTAGTAAATAGTTTTTTGTCTTTGGTTTAAACACAGTAAACAGTTTGTCTTTGGTTTCACACAGTACAAAGGGATAATAATTTTATTCAGTAGTGGTTTCATGAACCTCATTACTATTTTGATTTGTTTCATTTTATGTGGTGTATTTCTTTTTGTTAGTATATGTTGATATAACAGGAAATAATTTCTAAGTGACTGCTGTATAGTCATCAGAGGATTTGAAGACATTCCCATGAAGGTAGTGGTATATGTGTGTATTATCTAAAGTCAGAGTCACATCCAGTGCTCTGGGCTTATGTGACAGGGAGCTGTTGCAGTGACAGTCCTGATGCGGCAAGTAAAAGAGAATGTGGAGAACAGGGAGATTGTTGTCATTTTTTTTTTTTTTCATGGATACGGACTGGAACCTAGATTTAGTAAGGATCACGGAGGAGTAGTCAGCATGAGGCTTATGCAGTTCATGTTTGGGGTTTTTCGTAGGAACCAAGTCCTAACTTCAAATCTGTTGGGAAGTAAGTACCCGATAAATTATTAAAGAACATGCTGCAGACAGAAACAGCGCGAGAGGCGCGGGTGCCGTTCCGGGCGTCTGCCCCCGCGGCTGAGCCGGAGCGGGTTCTCAGAGCCGCTGGGAGCGCTGCGCGGCTCCGGCAGGAAGCCGGCCGCCTGACCCTGCCCTTCCTGCCTCGGAAACGGGCCCGGGCGCTTCCACGGGCGGCCGACGGAGGGCTGGGGTGCTGCTCCTGGGCCCTGGCCTCTGAGAGGGAGAGAACTGATGATTGATTCTTTGATTCTCTGGCTATTGTTAGTGCCTTCACTGAAGGAAATGCAGCAAGTCCTTCCATTCAGCTATTTCCATGGCATGTCACCCGAGGGGGTACACCCCTCCCTTTTCCAAGGAAGCCACTCACCGTATTTATCAGCGACTTAAGGATCATTTACGAGCCTCTTGAGACTCTTCTCGAGGCGCCCGTTGGGATGAGCCGCGGTGGTGCCTGGGGACGGCCCTTGCTCGCCGGGTGCGCGTGATGAGTGGCTTGGCATGATGACTGGGTGAATGTGGGTCTCGAGCGAGGATGTGGGCCAGTTCCAGCCTTGAGCTGCAGCCTCCTCTGTCCGGTCGGTCGTGCTTTTATTGACTTGGCGGAGCAGCCTCCTGCTTGAGGCCTTGTATGGGGAGCCCGGCGCGCTCTTGACCGCGGGAGGGGGATCCCGGGCTGCGCTCCCATACCTGCTGAGGTGAGATGCCAAGCCCTGCTGCAGAAAGAGCAGAGCAAGGCAAGAGGCCGCCTGGGGACAGAGAAATTGGTGGCAG